AGACAGAGAGAGACAGAGAGAGAGAGAGAGAGAATTTCAACCAACAGAAAAGTTAGACTAAAACCAAACAGAACTTTTTTAGAGCCAAAGGTACAATAACTGAAAAGAAAATTTTAATAGGAAGACTCAACAGTGAAGCAAAATCAAGCAGAAGAAAGAATCCACAAACTGAAAGGTGGAGTAGTGGAAATTATCCATTCAAAAGAAAAGAAGGAAAAAGCTGAAGAAACTCAGGGGATGATACAAAACAGACCAACATGTGCATTATGGGAATTATAATTGTGAAAGGGAGAAAAAAAAGGTCAGAAAGCTTATGCAAAGAAATAATGAAAAATATTATCAAATATGGGGAAGAAGATAAAAGTTTAGATCAAGAAAACCCAATACACCCTGTATTAGATGCATTCAAAGAAATTCACATAAAGACAAATTGTAATCAAATTCTCCATAGTAAAGCACAAAAGAGGATTTTGAAAGTAGCCAAAGAAAGGTTGACTCATAAAACCAAGTCATCAATAGTCTTTCAGGCCTGAAGACAATATATTGAAAGTGTTGAAAGAAAAACCTGCTGACCAAAAATATTTTACACAAAAGTCATGGAGGTAAAGATACTGGAGACAAATACAAAATACCATGATACTTGAACAATGGTATTTAAATGACTTAATTCTGATATAAAAATTTGACAAAATAACTATTAAAATATATTCATGAATATACAATACAAGAAAATCTTACATTGATTTTTACTTTTCAAAAGTAGTTAAGGTTGGAGTGATACAGGAGCATTCCTGTATGTTCCTCGTCAACCCAGGTAAGTATGGTTTGTACCACAGCATGATGCAGCAGTGATAAAGCGCTGAATTAAGAAAAATGATGTGGTCTTTTCTCAGTCTCTCTTCATCCAGTGGGAGTTTGGTGTGATACTGAGCTACAGCATCTAGTAGTCCAATGAAGGAAGGAGACACTGTCCACTGTTTCCTTCTAAGTCATGGTAGAATTGTGGCAGAGGTTGATCTCCACCCCAGATGCCATTGTGGAAATGAGCACCTGCTGCTAGGCCTACTGGTGGACTGCAGTGGATTCTTGTGATCCCCCTGTGGCCCAGCATGAGTCCCTCCTGCTGACTGGACTAGAAACTGGCCTGCACCCCTCTGCCAGTGGGTACACTCTGCATTTCAAGGTTCCTAGCACACCTTGCTGAATATTTTTAAAAGATTAAAAATGGAAAAATATATAAAATTCATTTAGAAGAGATACTTGCTTTCATTCAAATTTTTTACAAGGAGACTTAATATTTTACATAAAGATTTTGTTATACTATGAGAAGTTCTGTCCTATTATTCTCAATTGCAGAAATAAGATATATATATACATATATATCATATATATCTTATTAT